GGCGAGGAAAGCCAAGGTCATGAATGAATATAGGGCTTTTGCAACCACCAGACAGAAGCTGAAATCGGATGCACTCAGTCCCATCCTCTCTTTAAGTCTCCTCCCCTTTGACCTGTCTGAGCCCTTCTCAAAGCCCATTCACTGAGCTCCCAACCCCTCACTCAGCTGTGCCCTCTCTCTGAACCCATCTCCTGTCCCCAGAGGTCCCTGTCCGCCTGGACTGTGGGGCTCCAGCCAGCAGGCAGTAGTGTGGCCTTGCTTCTGTTCCTTGGACACTCCCCAGCTGTGGCCACCCCACCTCCACCTTCTCCCTCAGCCCACGTGGGGCCCAGCTTGGGGGCAGCACCGGCTCAGCCAGTCTGGCCAGCTGGGCAGCCAGGCCTCCTGTGTAATCAGGTCTGCCATTACCCAGTCTGGGGCCAAGTGAGAGGATGGCCACGGGGCTGGCCACGGGGCTGGGCACAGGGCTGGCTGAGGCTCTGGGGCTACTTGCTTAGCCTGGGACCGGACCTCCACTTCTGAGCCCAGGGCCCTGGCTTTCTAGAGCCTGTGCTGGGCCCGCTGGGCCCTTGTCAAGGAGGCCAGAGGAATCTCAGTGGGTCCCCGAGGGCCAGCTCCTGAGGTCTGAACCGAGCTTCCCAGTGCCTGGAAGGGAGGTGTCATCTTCCTTACCCAGATGGGGAAATTGTTGAGAGTTTAACTCTATTGCTCAATGTCACATAATTGGAAGTGGCAGAGCTGGGACTCAATCCAGGGAGCACTGGGGTTATTTCAGATGAGAGCCACAAAGGAGTCACCACATCCTCCTGTAGATTCTGAAAGTCCCAGCCCCGGGCCCAGCTCTTCCCATCGCTTCCAGAGCCAGGCAGGAGGCGGCCAGTCCTTACAGGCTGGGTCTGAAACAATAAACCTGTCTGCCTGTTTGCTATGAGATTCCAGGAGCTCCTCCTTCGGAATAATTCAGGGAGATGGCTCTAGAGTGACCTGGTGACACATTCTTTACACTCACAGACGATTAGGACAACCCCTTGCAAATTATTTACTGAAATTAAAACATTTTTTTAACATCATGGCCTTGTCGCTGGTTAAAAAAGAACAGGATTTTAACTTGTGTCTGTGGCCTGAGAAGTTAGTGAACTTCTGCCAAAATAAATAGTTTTGGACCAACTTCCAGCTAGACTAATATTTTAGCGGAGAGTGAGACTGCGCCCCTTTTTTCCCTCCAATTTTATAAAGATAGCACCCTGGCTGGTAGCTCAGTTGGTTAGAGCATTATTCCTATACAGGATTTCAAATTCAATCCCTGGTCAGGGCACATACAAGAATCAACAAATGAATGCATAAATAAGTAGAACAAGAAATAAATGTTTCTCTCTGTCTCTCCCTTCCTCTCTCTCTAAAAATCAATGAAAATTTTAAAAGGTATTTATTATATCCTTAAACATATTTGTAATATTTATTTCCTTTGGATAGTATAAGGATCAAAACATTACATCTGGTGGGGAGGAATAACTTTAAGTTGGCACTGGCTCCCCTGGCCTTAGTCTTCCGTTCCCAGAAGATAAAGCATAAAGTTCCGGAGACCTGATTCTACTCGGTCACTCCCCTACGTCTCAGAGGGGTCCATCCCAGGCCCCAGACAGGAGACTTCCTTCCCACCCACCCTGCTCCCTGCTCCCTGCTCCCTCTATCTCACTTCAGGCTCTGCGGTTCCTCTGGCTACCCTGGGGCGGGCTGGCAGCCCAGCACTGGTTCTGGGCTCAGGGCTGGCGGGCCCAGCACAGGCTCTAGTGGAGGTCTGCTCCTAGGCTAAGCAAGCAGCTCCCGGAGCCTCGGCCAGCAGACAGCCCCGTGCACCTTCCCTAGGGACACCCAAGGAGCTGAGTGTAGGGCACCGAGGAGTGAGCTCTCACCTGGTGTGAGCAGGACCAGAGCGAGGGGAGTGACTCAAATTGGGCTCCTTCCTCCTCATGGTACTAAAACTTTTTCAGCTCTCAGAGCATTTTCACATCCTCATCTCATTTCCCATCTGCCTCAGATAGGGAGGGCGGGAAACTGAGGCTCAGAAGCGGCACTGGCTTCTTCATGATCACGGGGCTGACAAGATGGCTATGGGGTGGGCAGGGAGGGTGCACCCGTCTGTGGGAGAGAGAGAGCTGTCCTGGATAAAAACCAGCGTGTATGACACGGTTCTATTGGCATAAGACTCTACGGTGTATGTTGGCAGAAAGAAAAAGAAATAGTGCTACTCCTGCCCCCTCTGCCCCAGAGCAAAGTGATGGATGGCAGCACATTATAAAGGGAAAGGTTGTCTGAGCTGTTGGAGGCCAGGCTCAGGGAGTCAGCGTGAGGGTAGGTAAAGCGTCTGGGCTTGGCTGGTATTTTTCCTGCAGCGGGTGAGTGGACCCAGCCAGTGTGGCTCCTGTAATAAATCAAGCACCAACAATTGTCTCTCCAGCTCCACTCATGTGCAGAGCTGCTCACGGCTCCCCCCAGGGCTGGCTCCCTCCTGCACCTCTGCACCCGAGCTCCCCACAGACTTCCCCTGGCCTGGGCCTGCCCTTTGCCTTACGCCTTCTGCACCTGCGCGCCCCTGGCCTCTCTCCCTCCCCCACACCTGCTGTGCTTGGCTGGGCCAGGAAGGACGGCTTCTTAGTCACTGCTGTTGGGCCACAGGTGAAAAGCTATAGGGCCTGCATGCTTCCCCTCCCCCACGCCTGCTTTTCCAAGTGTCAGTTGGCTGTGTCCCAGGAGAACAGCAGCAGGAAGCGCGAGATGGGGGAGGATGTTCTGGCCATCTGGCCAACTCCCTTCTGTAATCAGAAAGTGTGCTGAAGGGCTGGGACACCAGATAAGGAACACCTGGGTACGGTGCCCACCACATCCTGGGCGAGCCCTGCCCGCTCAGCTTACCCATCTGTGCAGCGGCAGGAAGATCACTGCCCTGCCTAGGACGCAAAGGCTGTGATGAAGTCATTGCGGAAAGCACTCATTGTCAGTCTTGAAGGGTAGTTATCTCTGTGCTCAGCTCACATGCCCCGGTGTGTACTGTTCCTCAGAGCCTTGTATGGTAAACCCTGGAAGGCGTGGTCCAGGTAGAAACCATCCGTTTGTGTTGGTGTGTGTTCTGGTGTGTGTGTGTGGGGGGGGGGGAGGCGCTGGGAATATGCATTATTGACCACCTGGAGTATTAATTGAGCACCTACTATGAGTCAACGCCTGTGGGAGCTCTGAGGTTGAGTCAGTTATTGCTTTTGTCCTCCAGGAGCCCCCAGCCTCAGAGGGGAGACACAGCACAAGACCTCAACGCCCTCATTATGCTAGATTGTCCCAGCCAGCCTTGTGCTTCATCAGGTGTCTCAAGTGCCTCCCGTGTGCGGAGGGCTCACAGATGGCTTCAGCCCAGATCACGCATGCTCAATGAATGGTTCTCTGTCAGGAAGCTCCAGGCCCTCCCGTCGCACCAGAATCAGTCACCCCAGGGTGCCATGCGAGATGCTGGACAATGCCGGGCGCTCAGGGACAGAGCAGAGCCCTGGCCCCCGAGGCATCCTTCCCTGCACCCCCTCCGCAGGCTGGAGGAGAGAAACATGCAGTGGCCCTGTAGACCAAGCATTCCCTCGATCCAGCTGGGAGGAACCTCAGCCACACTCTCACCCCTACGGCGCTCCTTCCGCTAGGTCCCTTCAGCCCCCTGCCTGGAACCAGGTCCTTCCTGATCCTGGATCCCCTGCCCTGCTTTACCTCCACCCTGTTCCCGGAGGCACCTTTCTAAAAGGTGTGTGGAATCCTCCAACTGGCACCCAGTGCCCTTGCCCATCCTGTGCTTCTGTGTACAGCCCTGGGGCTTGGAAAGCAGAGATTTCTGGCCCTTTCACTAGAGCCCTTCCTCCACCCCCCCAGTCTCTGTCAGACTGGATTCCTCGTTCCCAGAATATTTTCCCACCTTGGGGTACCTTTGCTCTTGATGTTCTCTCTCCCCGATGTCCTCCTCCACCCAATTCTGCCACCTTGCACAACTCCAGGGGGACCCACTCATGACGATTTCTGTCATCAGTGCCCTCCGCATATAACCCAAGAAATCGGCGCCCCTTCCCTGTCAAGCCTCCTCCTCAGAACCCCACCTCCACCCTGGTCTGAGTTTTCCCTTCCTTTGAAATCTCACGGGACTTTGCTCCCACCCAGGGCCGCTGTGTGTGTCTTCACAGAGTCAACCCCCATTTGCTGGGCTGATGTCCCGGGGTCTGGCCCACGGCTTGCTCTTGGTGACTTCCTCTACCCAGTTCTGGCCAAGCAGGTCAGCCTGGCAGGGATGAAGCCCACTGGCTGAAATGTCCACGTAGGGGGAAAGGGGAGGGGGAGGCGGCTTTCTTCTCTCTTTGGCCAAAATGGCATCACTTCCAAGGCCCCCAAACCTGGCAGGGCAGCCAGTGGTGATGGTGAGAGATGGGGAGGGTGGCTGATGGACCCTGGGGTCCTGGCCCCCCACTCCTCATTCCCCCAAGCTGACCTCATTAGGTCAATGTGGAGACCATGGTGAGGCAACTGCATGGTCAATGAGTAGTGATCAGGCCAGCAACGCAGGTGATAAGGATGCAACAACAGTCATCAAAGCGGGGCGGCTCTGACTTTCCTAGGACTTCATTCTCCCCTTCATCCTTCCTGAGGGTCACCCCCCTCCCCCCAGTCCAACCAACCAAGCCTGGAATGAGGGAGCCCCGGGGTGTGGTAACCCTGGTTTTCGCCCCACACACACACCTCCAAGCAATTCCAGGTGCCCAGGGAGCTATGACTCAGTGTCTGACCTCAGCATGGGCCCGGGTGCAGGGGGAGAGAGGGCAGTTTCCTATGAGATTGTGACTCAGGGGCCCAGGGCTGGGGAGGTAAAGTGCCTTTGTTGGCCTGGGCTCAGGAATCCAGAGAAACTGGTCAGGGAAAGGCCCCAGGAACTGAAACCCCTCCCTCTATCCCCGCCCCTCCAGGGAGCCATATAACCGCCCCACGCTCACTCCGGAGCAAGTGCGAGTAGCAGCTGTCGGCTGGAAGGAACTGGTCTGTCTGGTCACACTCACTGAGCTGGCTTCTGACTCTTGGGAGAGACATTCACAGCTGCTCTGACTGCCTTCTTCGCCTTTGCCTTCGCCTTGGACTCGCAGTGAAAGGCCTCCCTGTGGACACTGAGTGACCATCCCCAGCATTTGGATTTCTACAGCGCCCAGGGCCAGACCCCCAAAGACTTCCAGGTCCTAGACCCCAGCAGACGCGGAACGATGGCCTCCATGGGGCTACAGGTGATGGGCATCGCGCTGGCCGTGCTGGGCTGGCTGGGCGCCATCCTGAGCTGTGCGCTGCCCATGTGGCGGGTCACGGCCTTCATCGGCAGCAACATCGTCACGTCGCAGACCATCTGGGAAGGCCTGTGGATGAACTGCGTGGTGCAGAGCACCGGCCAGATGCAGTGCAAGGTGTACGACTCCATGCTGGCGCTGCCGCAGGACCTGCAGGCCGCCCGCGCCCTCATCGTCATCTGCATCGTCGTGGCTGTGGTGGGCGTGCTGCTGTCTGTGGTGGGTGGCAAGTGCACCAACTGCGTGGAGGATGAGAGCACCAAAGCCAAGACCATGATTGTGGCGGGCGTGGTGTTCATTCTGGCCGGCCTGCTGGTGATGGTGCCGGTGTCCTGGACGGCCAACACCATCATCCGAGATTTCTACAATCCGCTGGTGGCCGCTGGTCAGAAGCGGGAGATAGGGGCCTCGCTCTATGTGGGCTGGGCGGCTGCCGGCCTGATGATGCTTGGGGGGGCCCTGCTCTGCTGCAACTGCCCACCCCGCGCTGACAAACCCTACTCGGCCAAGTATTCTGCCGCCCGCTCCGCCCCTGCCAGCAACTACGTGTAAGGTGCCACCGCTCAACTCTTTTCAGACTTTGTTTCTCCCTGGACTCAGCTCAGCGCAGCTTGTAACCCTAGGATGGCCCTGCCGTGGCCCGCAGGCTGCTGGGGGATGGGCGAGCAGGGACTGAGACAGGACATTGGCCAGCAGCCCTCAGCCCCTCTGGCCCTCTCGGATGCCTTCCTAAGGCTTCCTCTACACTACAAGGACGGACTGAAAGACTTCCTAGCCACCTTCCTCTGAATGGATATGGACACAGGGGCGGGGGGCATGACAGTGGAGTAGGGAGCTGGCTCTTGCTGGCCAGGACAGCTCAGCCCTGACTCTACTTGGGATCTCTGACTGGGTGCCCTGCCAATGCCTGTGTTGGCCACTGTTCTTTGATCATCCCCACTCCCTCCAAGCGCATCCTGTGGAAACCTGTGGCCGTGAGAATGGCTGGGGCCTCACCCACCCACCTGCCTACGGAGCAGAGTTGACAGACGGGTTTAGAAGGGAGGGGTGAAGGTGCTACAAACTGGTTTGGGTAGTGGTGGGGGAGGGGGCTGTAGAGGCAGCCCTGGTTGCCCGTACCTCTTCCCACCCACCCTGTAGCCTCAGTGGCTTCAGCAGAACCCTGGGCCCCTTGACACTGGCCACCTCCATCTGCCAATGCGAAGGTCATTGGCTGGCCTGGGGGAGGCAGAGGGGACGGAATCACTCTGGCCTTCATCCTGGGGCTTTTCCCTGCCTCCTCTGTGGTCTGTTTTGTAATTTAAGATCTATTTGTCACGGTAATTACTATTATTTTCTACAATAAATGGCACCTGTGCACAGGAAGACTCTGTATGTTTCTGATTTCAGCTGTGGAGGTGGGCGGGGCAGGGGTGGAGGGGGTCAGCGAGGGGTAGGACCACTGTGTCTAGCCTGGTTGAGAACTTAAAACACTGGCTTCGTGGAAAAAAAAAAAAAAAAAGGAACTGGCCTGACCTTTGGAATCCCCTTGTTCAAGCCCTTCAGTTATTAGAGGGTGATACCCATATACAGGGAAGTGTGTGCCCAGAACCCTGGTGAAGTGTTGGGGACTTTAGAGGGAGGGCTGATGGGGACATCCAGACCTAGTGAATGGGTCACCTGTTCTCTCCCTGTTTGTCCCAACTTTGTCTGGGCAGCCAGGCTGGTCTGCTCACTCTTCCTCTGGGCTTTTGCTTAGACTTTCCCTGCCTTGAGCCTGGAATGTTCTTTTTCCTTTCCCCACCCCTCTGAATCCTGCTCATCCTGAAGGCCCAGCTTGGAGCCTCCTCCCCCACAAAGCCTTCCCACCTGCTTGGAGGAATTATTACCAGCCCTGGTCATGGGGCAGCCTCCAAGCCTCACCCTGAGTTCCGATCTCTGCGGAGATAAAGAAACTGAGTCCTGGACATGTGAAAGTGTTTGGCCAAGGCCCAGAGGCAGGCATGCACATTTCCTGTTTTGTGAGTTAGAGGTGAGAGGGCCCATCAGCCTGGGAAGAGTCATAAAGTCCCATCTTCGGCCCTGTCGTGTCTGGCTCAGGGACCACCGGGGTGGGGCCTCTCTGTCCA